GAGTGTGCACTTACATAGTTCAATGACAATTCCAGTGTGACTGCCATTGCCAGTCCTTGTAATATGCTCACCGTCATGATGCACGGTGTACTACATAGCCAGGAAAGAGTTATGTGAGTTGAAGCCAGCTCAAGCACATTGCTCCCTTCAAAACTCCTTTGTTGTTCAAGATTTATACCCTTTCTGCTCCCGAGATCTCTGCTTGCATTTGGCTTGTGTTCAGATGTCGGTCAAATGGTCTCCCTTCGCTGCGTTCCTCAAATAAGTGACACAGGACCTTATGAGATCGTGATGCCACTTCATGGCATGCATGAAGCCAAAATATAAAAGCATTTAATATATGGGTGTTTTTTAACTAGTATCTTATTAAGTAACAATAAAACTGAAACTTTTTGTGACTGTGTAAAAATGTGATGCATGTTTGTTTGATGCATGTGATGCATTTTTGTTGACAAAAACAATGCAATTTTGTCAACATTAACCCAAATTTCAGTTTAAAATACTCTTATTTTTTAAGTGGGATGAATCCTTTCTCCCATGATGAAATATGAAGTTTAATTTTGGGCCAGACTGTAGGGATTATTTTTGGATGGGGAGAGGGAATAGAGAACAACAAGTGAGCTCAGAACTAAGCAAAAAATCTGGCCCACATTAAAGCAGATGAAAAAATTAGAAAATCTCTTAGCTATCTGGTTAGCTTCATTTCTATTTAATATTTGGTATGATTGCTTAGGTAAGAATTTTACTTCAGTAAATAATTGTAGGGCAATTATCATTTGTCTGGATGAGAGGCAGACAGAAATACTCCCTAATAGAATAAATACACCCCTGGAACTGCCTCTTTCTTTTAGTAGCTCTGAAGGTGACTTGTGATGCTTGATCAGCTTTAGGTTTAGACGTCCGAGTTGCATAAATCTCATCCCAAGTGTTAGCAAAGTAAGTAGGATGGTCTCCAAAACACTGCCCCATATGGTATGATGGAAGTTAGCTTGATTTTGGATCCCAAGCGTGGCTGAATTGTAGTTCTGGCATTGTAATGATCTCCAACTGGTTGAGGTTGAGTATAAAACATTGGTTGTTGATAGAATTGTCTCTACAGCATATGTGAGCCAAGTAGGTTATGCTGCAACTGTAACATAAGCACTTAAAATAATAGAAACACCAATAGATTTACCTTTGCTTAGACAGATATTAATTGGCTTTGCTGAGACTTTTTTTTTTCCTGTATTCTAAAGTGCATTTCAAGGTGGACAGACATATACTGTGATTTCTTAACTTTTGGAATTCTCGGTGTAAACCTCTGAAGATGTCATGTGACTGCTGTGTCCATGCGAGTATTCCCTGATGGAACCAACATTGGCATGTAGCTATCCTAAGGTTTTGGGACCTTACTCAGGTTACTCCTGTCCTAACAAAAGGTTCCTTTTTCTTAAACTGGGAAGCTGGCAGTTGAAAGGAAAAGGAAAAGGAAAGGCATGCAACAGATTTCTACTGCATTGTAGAATGACTCAACATCAATTCCTATTCTTTACTAACTGGCTAATCTGTGTAAGCAATGCCAAGACCACTGGCCATCTAATACATAGACCATTTCAGAACCTTGCGTGAGAAGCCAGCTTTTCTGAGTTGTGGAGCTTGAGGGCCGTTAAAATCAAATTTCAGTGTTATAGCAGGCCCCAGTCACCCGGTTTAGGTAAGTCCCAGTGTAGTGAGGGTCACACAACGAATTTGCATCTTTCATTCTCTCTGAGTTTGGATAGAAATGTTTGATTATTTTCCTTAGCAGCTCTTACAGAAAGAGGGAAGAATGTCTCTTTATAAGCAAATTATAAATACATCGTAGAAGACCGAGCAGACAGAGGCATGTTCTGCTAAGGACCTGGCAATTTTTCTGATATTTACCACATTCTACTATTGTTCTTGCTCTTGTGTCATTTCATACTAAAGTGATTCCTCCTGCCATATTCTCTCCCCTAAAGCCTTGCAGTTCATTATGTCAGAATAAATATTCAGCATTTAGAAAGTGCAATTCTGATACATTCTTGCCTGAACAGAAAAGTACATGGCTATTGACTTCAGACAAAAAACATATTTTTGTGCTATGGCCTTAGAGATTACTCGGGTATTCAGCGAGACTTTATTCTGTGTAAAATGGCAGGGTTTTACTGACAATACGAAGAGCTATTAGCAACACATTAATGCCTAAAGCACTAAAAATGATTTCCGATGTAAAAGCTAATAAACTTCCATTCATTTGGCCACAGCAATTGATAACGTGTGTTCAAATGAGCTCCTTTGACCAAGCCGCCGAGGCTGCCAAGCTGCGTTTGGAGACAAAGGAGCGCACCTGGGCTCTGGGAGCCCTCGTGGCTGTCTGAGATGGGCTTTTGCTAACCGGGGTTGACGGCGAGGCGGGAGGTTTGGAGAAGGCCGAGTTTGTTGCAGGATGCCAGGCTCTGAAGCGGGTTTCGTTTCCCCTGGCACGGTGGTTCTGAACCTCCAACTACAAATGGCGAGCAAATAAATTATGCAAGAACACTGCTCCATGATAGTTTAGACAAGTCTTGCACTTCAGAAAAATATAGTAGTGTGTTAAGACTTTGAGGTATTTCCGATCCCTCTTCTTTAAGAGCCTGTGGGATGGATCTTGGGCTAGTGGTAGCAGCAGGGGAGGTGAGTGCTGGGAGTCCCTGGTGTGGCGCAGAGTGAAGCAGAGGAGGAGAGTTGGTGACTTAACTCAGAATCTTGTGTAGAATTCAAGGGATTTGGTCTTTTTTATTTATTTAATAAGTTAATTTTGAGTTACTGAGAACTATCACTCACTGTAGCCAGCCTTTGAGTTGTATTTTCTCATTGACAGGGCTGGCAAGGCCTGTTTTAAAGGTTATGCTGAACAGAAGTAGGAACAGAATTCCTGTCTGCCGTGGCTGTTGTCTCCTTATTAAATGATTCAGGCATCTGGTTTAAATGAAACTTTTTTATTTTTAAAGAGTATAGTGAGGGTTATTCTACAGTCTTCCTTTTTTTTTTTTTTTTTTTGCAAAATCCTGTGAAGTTGCTTTGTAAATCTAAACTTCAGTTGATGCGGATGTACAATAAGCAGGGATTCATAATGGCGTTCACAGTCACAAATGAGATGTAAAGCATTAGGCACAGCATTTTACTTCAAAGAATAAAACATGAACACCTGTGACATACCCAGCCTTTGGTGGTTGTTTCCTATGTGATCAGCATGAATATTGGCCCATGATGGGAAAACCTGCTCGTTTTGCCAAATTTGGTCACTTTAATTTAGATGCTTTTCTGAAATTTTCTAATTCAAACTGTTGGAGCTAACAGTTGGAGGAGCTGCCTGGCTCCTGGAACGGCAGGGCTGTTATCTACCACAGTCACCCTGCCATAAAGATCAGTAGTCAATATAACATAAAATCCATTTTTTACTACAAATTTTGGGGGCTTTTGCAAGAAAAATAATGGATGCTCAAAAGGATGATTTTATTTCTAATTGCATTAATTAATAAGCATTAAGAAGCAATAAGATTTGTGGGTTGTGGCTTTTCTTTTAATAGGCTATAGCGCTGCTGTTATCCTAGTTCTTCAAAATATATAGATGTAAATTTTCTGTATGTCAATTTTAAAAAAAGAAGACTTTCAAAATGTACAAATTGTAAACAGTGTGCTCTTTCCTAGGTGAATTCTTTATTATTATTTTTTGCTCGTGATACACTGAATTTTAAAAATAATTGTCCCTGTATCTAGCATTAAAATGTATTCCAATTAGCTAATTACTTGTATGATGGAAACACTGTTCCTGGGTTAAAGAAAAAGAGAACACTTGAATGCTGTGAAACTCAGAGTGCTGGAAAGCTGTGCATGCCCCGTGCAAGCCGTGGGCTGCAGCGGCGCGGCTGGACCCTGGTGCCGGTTCCGCGCCCGGCGTGGCAGCGTGGGCAGGGGGGCAGCCCCGGCCGGGCTCCGCAGGGTCTCTGCTTCCGCGTGGGAGCCCAGCCAGCGCCCGGGGACTGGCCCTGTTCCTGCGGGTGCCTGGAATTCCTGCCCGGGAGACGGCCCGGCCCCGCACGCAGCGTTCGGAGAGGCGCAGCACTTGAGTAAACTCAGGCCATCTGTTGGCTGCATAAATTAGTTTTCCCCGTTTGCCCATCTAGCCCTAAGGTGCCTGTGTTTTTTAATTTATTTATTTTTTTTACTTTGCCAAATTATATATTTTTTCTTTATCCAGTTCTAGTAGGATTTTTTTTCTATTTGCCCTATTTTATTTCTTGCGCTTGTATGCATTTCATTGTTCCAGTTTGTTTAACAAACATCTCCTTTATATAAGTACCCCCATGAAAGGTAATCTTTATTCATGATGCAGACACTATTACTGTTTCTTTTCTTTCTCCTGTCGTATCCTATTCTATCTCTTCCTGTCCTTTCGTCTCCTCTCCCTGTTTATTTGTCTCCGTCTGTGTTTGTCTTTTCCCTGTTCCCTTCCCGTCTTCTTTATTGCCTTTCCCTTCTTCGTCTTCTTTCCTCTTAACAGTAATACGAATCAATAAATAGAAAAGGCACTAAATTGGTTACGTCAGCCTAACTTCATTGATTTTACTTCCCAACTGGTATGTTGCTCAGCATTCAGGGAAGAATTAAATCATTCAGAATTATTTGATTTTAACTTCAGTTGTTTTAAAGGTTCTCTGATTGCCATAAAGTGCTAAGGGCAATGTAAATCAGATTCCTTAAGCATTTGGAAACTGAGCATTTATTCAGCAAAATCAGTCTCTTTTGACGATTTCTCTCTCTTTTTTTTTTTTTTTTAGTGCCACCTTCTGCCTGTCAAACAAAAGGGTGAAATGCATCTTTCACAAGGCAAATTTAGGCTTCCCAACAGATTAGGCTTTGTGAAGTACTCCAGTAAAGAATTGAGGATCTGTTGGCTAGTTTGTTTCTTTTGAATGTCTGTTCCTATTTTGAATTATTCTTTTTTCTTCCGCTTGCAGATCTATTTGCAAAACAAAGATTTGTACACTGTAGAAGCCAACAACCCTCGTCAGTTGGTGGAAATAGCAGCCAGAGACATTGAAAAACTGCTGAGTAACAGGTCGAAAGCCTTGGTGGTGAGTACTAATAGACGAGGTTTTCTATTTTTATAATTTTCAATTCTTTAAAACTGAAGCATGTTTTTATTGTTATTATTATTATATTTTCTGCCTATGCACTTAGGGTAGTGTCAGCTTGACGTGTACAGGACATGACATGTAGAACGCTGGCTTGTGACTTCATGGTAGGACAGGAACTCATTAGTCAGTTGGCATAGGGCAGATGCTTATAGATGCTTATAATAGTGATGGACAGATTAGGAAGCAGGGCCAAGTAACAAATGAAGATATAAATAGATTGCAAAATATTCCAGTGTGTGATGTACATGAATTTTTGATGACCTGAAGATCCCTAGACTCTGTAAACAGTAATTATCTTAAGGGGGAAAAAAGGAATGCAGCTTTTTAAAAGCTAGTTTGAACATAATCGTATCTGTGAGGGTAATTTTAGTATTATTGCTGAACAGATCTGTTGATGTTTAATCTCCTTGTCTTCTCAGTTCCTCAGTGTTTCATGGTGGTAGGAGTTAATTCTTCAGCAAACGTAGCCATGTGTGAAACACATGATTCATTTTCATAGCTATTCTATTTCTGACTTGCTAATTTAAACTGTATTTCAAACATGTTTTGTACAGGCAAATTTAATCCTGAGCTACTAGCATGAAGATGGTGCTGCATTGTAATCTCATGTTTCCTTATGTTTTAAGTAACAAGTAGCTGCTCTTTCAAAGTACTTCTCTTGCAGATCTATCAGCTGAGATGCCAAACTTGGGTGATTGCTCCTTATAACTTCTACTCATATAAAATTTGAATCACTTCAAAGATTAAGGTGCATTTTAGAAGATACTGGCCAAATTTACGTAGGATATTCTGGATGAATTTGTAATTATGTCTTTTATAGAATCTGAGCTGTAGGCAAAGGCTTAAAGGACAGAATACTAGAGTGGAATTGCTTAGAGGAATTGCATAATCTACTGTGGCTTGAATTTGAGTTTGGATATGTCATTTAAAGTGAAAGACAGAAGAAGGATGGATTAACTCACCTAACACTTGGAGCTAGATGTTAAAACTCAGCTGGTTGCCCTAAGCTCCTTTATGGAGCAAAATAGGCCCTTCTCAGGTGGGGCTTACCCACCCTGTTCTAAATGAGACTTTCAGATGGGATGAGCTACAGCCTAGATGTGCTAATTTCTCTCTTTGGCTGTCAGAGGAGCTGAGGTGCAGATGTCCATACTGGAAGCGTCTCAGGTTGGGAGAGATGGGTTCCTCCCAAGGAGTGCTGGCATCAGTGCAGCTACACCCTGCTAAAGAACCAGGCAGGGCCTGAACTTGCTGGTCCATGTTCTGCTGAGGACTGGTTGTCTTAATGGTGAGGACAGAAAGGTCATTTGCTTAGCAAGTTTCTGTGTGCAGATACCACTGGAGATGCCCATTTTCCTTCTTTTGTTCCCTGTACTAGTTCCCGTAGCTTCCCTGACACATCATGTAAATCCATGTAAAAGCTTCCTTGTGTGTGTGTGTAAAAATATAATAACAAAGGGTTCCAAATAAGTTTTCATTTCATTTTTCTATAATAATTCTGTGGGTATGTGTTTACCTAGCACTTTGAACCTTTTATTATTCATGCAAAGCATTATAAATGATTTATAAACTTTTGTGAATATGGCAGATTTTCCACCATTTTCCCATCAATTCATTAAGTTACGGTGAGTTTAAGTTACCACAGCCAAATCTTTTGCTTGAAAGTCATAATTCTTGAAGGGGTTTATGTGTGTGTGTGTGTGTGTGTGTGTGTGTGTCCATGTGTGTTCTGTATTTTTTTTTCTACTGTGAAAGCCTGAAGAGAAATGAAATAAGTATCTCAGACTTAGTCTAGAAAAGATACCAGAATATTTTTGCCTGTGAATGTGGCAGAAGGAGGGTGTTCTACCTGGTCTTAGGCAAGTCCCTGGTCACTTTTTGAAAGGAGTTACATGGTCCAGTTGGTAAGTTGGAGAAGGATGTGTCTTCAGTCCAGTTCCCCCCTTTTAAAAAAATTACACAGCAACTGTTTAGTCTTTGGAACTTCTCCAGGTAATTTTAAATGGTAAAGTCAATACTTCCAAAGGTAAATAGAAAGTCCTTCAAATACATTAGTAGTTAAACATTTATGGCTTTAAAACCAATTCTATTATCCATGATACGGTTCATGGTTGAGGATGGCATTATAGCCAGTGCTGCAGTGTATGTCCAGTGCTTATGGTCTTCAGCCATGTGCTGTAATTTCAGGATGTCTACCATGATTCTGTGCATTTCTGCAGAACTTCCTCATGTCAAACTTGCCACTTCATTCAGGGTGAAAGTCATCCCAATGCGAATGAAAATAATTTGTCTTAATCCCTTCTTTCACAGTTGAGTTTAATTTGCTAAAGGAGAAATCTGCTTCAAGACAACTTTTGCATGATAGTCAGTCATGAATGCTTCCCAAAAAAACTTGCTTTCCCTTTGTATCAAAAACCAGACTTACCATAATCCATACATTCAGAATTGTAACACTTGCTCAGTGTTTAATAAGCAGTTTAGTATTATTTTCAATATTTTATTTACCTTTTGGTTTTAGATTCAGACATTTTTAGCTATGAAGGCTAGATGTTCTGGGGAAATTCTTTAGAAAAAATGTGTTTACCATGTATATTGATGAATGCAGAGGCTTAGTCTTATTAAAAGGAAAAGGGAAAGAAGAGGCCAAAATTCCCACTCAAGAGGAATAACAGCCTGTTAGTAATCTTAGTCCTACACAGATGTCCTTGCTGATTCGTATTCTATATGGTTATTAATTTTAGATGACTTTATGTTGGTTTCTTTTGTGCTTTCACCTTAAGAGCAGTGAATGGCTCAGATATTTGCACTGGCTTTTCTGTTTGCAGGAATCCTCGGTTCATATCAGAGTGATATTCAGTGACTTCTGATTTTAAACATTCCTCCAGGTCATTTTATACACTTGTGACACTCTCTGGTTATCTCTTGAACCTGAACTATTACCTTCTACTAAGGGAATTAGGGAATTTCTTTACCATCCAGAAGTTTTTTTTTTCTTCTTTTTTTTTTTCTTTTTTTTCTCAATAACTACCCTTATGTTTGATTTTATAAATAATTCAGCTTCACTACCTAATGCTCCTCTGAAATACAAGTCTTGTTAAATCTCCTGGGTCACATTTTCTCTGAAGTCAGGAGTGGAGTCAAATAGGACTGGTACTAATCACTGCGCTTAGGGTTTTACCATGGGGGCTAATATGACTCAAAGTGTTAATTAAGACCTGAATGCTGAAGAGAGGATGATGCAAGAGGAGAATAAATCCTCCAGTAATGCCAGGAGGAAGGTGCCAGCGAGTGACATCAGCAGCTCGTTGTTCAGACAGCAGCGTGCCCCAGGGCCACCGCTGATTCCCCCTAGGCCAGCCACACAAACAAGGTTTTGGCAAGGTTATAATAAGCAAATATTAGTGGTGACTTTTCTAATAATATGCTGGCTTCCCTTGAGCTGCAAGAGCACCTTTAAGTGAAAAATTACCCTTTAATAGAAAAATTATTTGTGTTTCTATGCACTTCTGTAAGAAAAAAACTATGTAAATATGATTTAGAAGTCCTAATGTTTTATAGTTCTGGGCATTACAATGAAAGGCTTGGAACTTCCGAGTTAGCTGGGATGACCTATGTCATCTCATTTCTGAAAAATCATGATGTGTATGTGGAAATATTACACTGACAGTCTGGACAAAGATGACTTCTTCCATCTTAAGGAAAGAAAATATATTGTTTTTTTTTTCCATGTGTGGGCATCTATACTTGGAAGCAGCTTAAAAGTGGTAGTTGAAAAAAATATAGTTGAGGGCAGGGAAAAGGGGAAGCCCTGCTCTGAAGCCGATGTCAGAAGGGCTTCACAGAAGCAAGGACTGGAAAACATTATGGATAGAAAACAAAAAAGGATGAAAAGAGGGGGATTTTTCAAAGCATGTGCTACGGAGGAGTGTAGCTTTTGTAGCAAGAAGTTAGGCAGGCAATAGTCCCTTATATTGAAGGATGTCCAAGAAAGTGTTATGGTAGAGCTGCTGTTGAAGCGTGTATGTTTTTCTTTTCTTTTTGTTTTTTTCTTCATTATCCCTGTTTCCTGGCGTGTATTTGCCCGGTCTAACCCCTCCTGAGCACACAGTGTGGTGACATTTACATATGCAAATGCCGTGTTGTGCTTTGTGAGTCCGTATTCTGCCCGCCGCACGCGGGGACGCAGCTTGTGCGGGCCAGCCGCGGGCCCCGCGTTGGCACGTGCACCGTGGCAGATGGGCGGAGGTGGCACCGAGCAGGTGTCTGCCAGCAACTGTGGGCAAAAAGCTGCTGCTTGGGCATTTTGCAGGTCCTCCAGCTTTGCCAGGCCCTCAACAAGGGCTCTGCCTGGCACCCCAGCAGTCTGGCACCTAAACTGCAAAGTGCCACCAAAGTGATCCGAGGTGTCTTCAAGGTCCTGCGCCTCCCATGAGTGCAGTGGCTTTCATGGAGATAACGTAGATCACACTAGTAAATCACGATCTGTCTGCTCAGCTGGAACGTAAAGTAATTTAAACAAAATGTTGTCTATATGCAAGAAAGTGAAGAAAACTGCACTTTGAAAAATGCAAATTTATTTCATTACTACCATTACGAATACTGAATAGAGTACATGAGACTGATATATTCGTAAAATGTGACTTATAATATATAAATATTATATATTTATATATAAATAATATATATATTTATATATTTATATATTTGTAATAGATATAAATATTATAAATATTATAAATATTATATATTTATATATTATAATTTATAATTTATATATTATAAATATTCTCCCTCTGTCTATACATACAAAAAAAGCCTTTTAATATATGAGATGGGCTCAGGACATATTTACTAATCATATAAAATGTTACAGAAAACTCAAGATTTGCAAATATCCTAAGTTTTGCTGCCATATGTTAAAATTTTAAATATTAAATCAGTATTTTTAAAGCTAAATTTAAAGAGTCAGTGTTTTCCAAAGAGTTGTTTTGAAGTTTTGTCTTCCTTTATCTTGTGAGAGAAAAGGAAAATGCATCCAAATGTGATGCTAGATCCAGTGCTGCACCCTGAACATAGGGGTGCAGCTTTTTTCCTCTTCAACAGTGTGAAGTCAGTAGTTTTGCAACCTTAGCCTTCTGTCTGGCCATCTGATCATTAAGTGTGAGGCAGAATCATTAATCTTGTACCTCAGGAAAATTTGCATTTTTACCTTCATGCTTATTTTTGTCGATATTTTGAAATGAAGGAGAGTAAGCAGTTTTGGATCTTATATAACAGAAAGAAAAAAGTTAAGAGGGAAAATGAGGAATTAAGAACACACAATTCTCTGCAGAGAATTTTGGATGAAACTGTTACCAGTACATCTCACCTTAGATAGTATCCATTCCCATAGTTCCACATTATTTATTTTTTCACTACTTATTTGTATAATACTTCCAGGTGAATCCTTCTTGTTCTTCTCTCCAAATTCAGACATACTTTCATTCCTCTGCAAATCCCATTTTCTGCAGAAGAAATCTCTCTTTGAAGGAAACCTCGGGGCCAGATCCTTGTTATCAACACTATGATCTATGGCCAGAGTGCACGTGTTGCAAGTCCCTCATTCTATTGCTGCCCACGTTCTAAGGGAACAGTGTAATCATGTGTGTAGGATAGAAGCGAATACTCAAATTCCATTAAAGTATACTTTTACTATTGTATTCTTGCTTGAGTTTTTTGTGTTGCTTTGTTGTGGAGATATTTGTTTTTACTTTCAGCTTGTAAACTCTTAAAATTTATTGAGAGAAAGGTACTAGTTTTATGAAAAAGTTAGTACTCCCTGGAGCACTGCACTTGGGCTACATGTAGACCAGGCAAGAGTTACATGCAATTTTTCACCTTGTTGTCCAGGTTCTTCAGACCTCTTAGTAAGAGATCTGGACATCAATCGTATCTTCGTTGCAGCCGTTAAGCCTTGGATTCTTTTGCAAAGTGAGGAAACTGAGTTTCCATGGAAACTGAGGCCCGGGTTGTGTGCGCGGAGACAGATTCCCCACAGATGATGTTGGGCGATATCCAAGGTGCCTCTGCCCGAGAACCTGGAGCTCTGGGTGTTTGTCCTGCTAGCTGAGATGCAGCTTCAACGCAGCTGTGCAGCTGCAGAAATGCTTCCCTGCCTGTCTGAAATACGGCTTCAGTGTTTCAAATCAAAATCAAAACTGGTTTCGGTATAAAAAAGCGTTGGGTATATCTTGATAAATTTGCTTGTCTTTCTGTCTTTCCCTCTCTCCTCCTTGAGACTTTTAGGTGTTCCTACCCTTTTTGACTCACTTGCCACCTACAGGAAGCTTTAGGCATCCGACTTGGAAAAGTTTGGAGAAATTCAGAGAAGGCAGATAGCTGGAGTGGTGGTTAGTCTCGCGGGAAGCAACATTTCCTCACGTTTTGTTAGGATGCTCTCTTTGTTGGCCTATGAGAGGCTGCCATCATAAGGGAGCAGGCAATGGGGTTCATGTGCTGGGTGGCTTACCGAAACAATTTCTGGTGTGACTTATCCCGAAGAGGAGATATACATGGAAAAATCAAATTGACAATAGTAATTGCTGGTAGAACCATTGAACAAAGTTTTATTGATGCATGATTTTGTGCAGCGTGTACAGAAGTGTATACAGAGATTTTAGGTTGTGTTTCACTCCAACATGCTCATTTTCCCCTGGAGTTGTTAGGCCATAGACGTTTGATCTATTTTAATATTTTAAATACTTTGTTCTTTTATTTTAATATTTTGTTTTGAGCTGGAGATGGAAAAGGAGTCTTAAAATTTTCTCTTCAATCTTGGACGATACTAAAAAAAAAATTCTAGACCTTAGCAAAAATACTGTATTTTCAGTATTTTCACAGCATCATATTTGTTCACAGCATCAAAAAACAAATGGCTTTAACTGTGCCAAAATCCTACATTAAAAATACCTTTTTTCAGCAAAGTAAACATAAAACATTTTTTGTATGCATAAGGACTAAAAGATCATGCATGCTATATGTCTTTATATGACATTATGTCTTGGTTCTTTAAGTTTTTCCATTATGTATTTGGTAGAATTTTACTGAGTTAGGACTTTAGCTCTATTTATATATCGCTTTTTATATCTCCATCATTTCTCTATATGCTGAGTAATTCACTGAGGTGGAAGATTTCTACATTTTATTTATGGATGCTTCATGTGAATTTTGAGAATAGACATTCTTGTCTCTTTCCTGCAGCATTGTATTTAGATTTCAGTCCATGACCAGAACTAGTAAGATGAAGGTAATCCAAGTAATAGAAATAGCTAATTCAGATAGGATAAGAACTCTGCAAGTATATTTACAACTGATGCCATGCTATTTTTTACAACTGGCTTAGCTGGGAAGTTTTCACATTAGAAAAAAGATAGTACATATGCTTTTTAAGGCTGTAATATGGAGTCAGCGAGCGTGTATGAACTTTGTTTAAATCTCCAGATGTAAATGTAGTCTATTTTGAAAGTCAGTAGTAGTTGCTGAAGGAAATGTGTTTTGGAATGACAGCTAGTGAGATGTGACACTTACGAAGTCAAACATTTGTCAACTTGTCCACATGTCAGATGTTGGAATTTGTTTTTACTTGTCTTGCCTTCAGTCTTATTTTATTAACCTAAATCCAGGTTGTATCAATGCAGCTTTATGCCTCAGAGGATAAAGTCACAGAGCTCACACAGCTTGCAAAGCATCATGAAGTCTGGAATAATAAATCAGAGGATTTGCAGTTAAAGTTCTTACGAATATGGCCTGTTTCTGTGTGGGTTTTTTTTTACCTTTCTTTCTGTGATTTATTTGACTTGGCTTCTGCACTTCTTGCCTTCTTGTTGACAGATAAGGAGAGGGTTATCCCTCCCCTTCCCTTATTTCCGTAGGTAGCCCTGAGTAAGCGATTGAGTCCGCTGGCTTGGGAGAGGCTGCTGCGTCTCCAGCCTGCCGGCACAGCGCGTTGTGGTCGCGGTTGTGAATGTGACTGAGGTGCTGGAAGCTGAAAATGGTCTCGTTGGGCAGCAGCTGCACAGCTTGACTATCCTCCTTGCACGGTGCACTGTCCCTGATGTGAGAGCGCCAGCGTTGCCTTAGCATTTGGGACGTAGAGAAACCAGGAACGCTGAGAGCTCCTTCCTGTGTGTTGCTGTTAATTCATTTGAAAAAAAAATGCCTGAAAAAAATAGACTTGCATGGCTAATTTTCCAGAGCTTCTGTGTGTGTGTGTGTATAAAACTCCCTGTTGGACATAGTTTATGTGTTTGTTACAAGCTCGTTCCTTTGTCTAAGATTATGGATACACAAATTCCATTTCAGAAAGGTGTTTTGCAGGTGCACTGCTTTATTAGTAGTGAGCATTATTTGAAGCTGATGGGTTGCACTAGCAGCTGTGAAAGCTGAAATCCTGCTCCAAAGACCTCTTTATGATCACTTTGGTTTTGACTAATTTTTACAGCTTTAGAATCCAGGATTTTAAACGAAATGATGCGACCCAAACTGCAGTTGTTACTCTTATGGGATTTGTCCCAGATTTTGTCTCCAGGGCTTTGCTTCCCTTCTTACCTGAGGCCTCTCCTCAGGCAGCTTCTGCTGCTGCAGATATTTTTTTTCCCTTGTATGCCCCTCTGCCTAATACTTACAGAGAACTATTTTCTTCCTTTTTTTCTCCTCCATCTGAGGATCTTCATTCTGATCTTTCCGAGAAGCAAGAAACATGTTCACACCTTCATATTTTATAAAGGAATGGTAAAATCCATGATAAAACACATAATTGTCAAAATCCAAATATTTCACACAAATAATTGAATAATTTTGTTACCTTTCTTCCTAAGCCTTCTCATTTCTCTCAGTGTCTTTTTTTTGAGAGCGTTCATAGCTAGAATTACAGGATTTGTCTCAGTGAACAGAGTATTGAGAAACCTCTTTTGTGCCCTTGGCTTCTCTTCTTTTATTCTGTTAGTCCTTTTGGTGAAGGAAAGGGCTCTCTCAGGGAAAAAGCTTCAGGAAACAAGGATGAGAGAGAGGTAACAAGGAGTAACAGCACAGGAACAGGTTGCCTATGGAGGCTGTGGAGTCTCCTCTGGAGATACTAAAAACCCACCTGCACATGATCCTGCGCAAGGTGCTCTAGGTGACCCTGCTTGTGCAGGAGGGTTGGACTAGAGGATCTCCCAAGGTGCCTTCCAACCTCAACCATTCTGTGTTTCTGTGATTTTTATGAAATGCATTTGTGGTTCCGTATGTTCAGAGGGACAGTCTTACTGAACTACCTCAGTGTGTGGTGAGCCGCATGTACCCTGACCCCTTCTCGAAAGGGCCAGGAATCACGACCTCTGGATGTGTCGCATCCCCCTTCAGTGATGCGGAGCTGTGGGAAGCCATTGGCTCTTCATCTTCTGCTCTTCGTCACCATCCCTCCTCTGTCACCAGCCACGACAGCCCTGGGCATGGTGGCAGCTCCTCAGCTTGCACGTCCTGTTCCAGCTACAGTGAATGTCTGGCAGCTCCCCGGGCATCTTGCTGTGTGCTCATTTACAAGCCAGAAAGTCATGGTAAAACACTTGATGAATGCTAGCTGATAAGAACTGAGTACATAGGGAAAAAACTGCATTCACTTCCATTTTAACAGCTAGGCTTTTGAATAGGAAAGTGAAAAAGAAAGATGCAGAATGGGTTGAGACTGACACCAACAGGGAAAATAAGCAGGTTCTACATTTTAGAAGACACAGAAAGAAACAAACAAATAAAAACCCCAAAATCTTAATAATCACAGCTCCTCCAGAACAAAATAACACCACAGAGCAGGAGATTGTTTGGGCTGAATAAATCAAGTTATAATTTTAGAATAGTACTTCAGCATGGTCCCTGAGCTGGTATAAATCTGCATTACTTCACTTGTATTTCCTTATGTCTAGAACCAGAAAATGGGAATAGCATTTGCACGGCTAGATAGAAGACAACGATGCCTGATTTTAACGTGCCTGACTATCATGGAGGTATCAGAAACCCAGAGGGACAAAGTGGTGTGGAAGCTGCAATGAGCCTATGGAGGTCTACCTGCTTTTCACAGAATGGCTTACACAGGTGTATCTGAAATCCTCTGTCTGAATCACTGATGGTTGGATCAATAAAGCTGACACCTTACTTTCCATGGGATAGGAGTCTGGCTGGAATTTTCCCATTAAAATTGGCAGTTGCAGAGATATTTATGTTTCTTTTTTTTTATGATATTGGAAGAAGATTCCATATTTGAGATATACATCCAACAATTAGGGAAATGGGATCAAATCTGTCTTCTAAAATGTTTCTCTCTGCCTCTCACTTCCCAAAAGAGTATCCTGAATGACAAGATCTGCTGAACAGAAAGGCAATATTCTTCCTTGGTTGTTCTTCCATCCTACCAGTGCTAATCTAGAGGCCACTTTTACAGATGAGGGCAGAATATAACACAGAGAATGGTAGAAGTGGTGATATCTAGTTTAGATGTGAGAGAATACAGTTTTTGGTTTAAGATGCTTTCCTTTAATGGTCTGCACCCTCCTCTTTTCCCACTTCCCACAAATTGATTTCTAGTTGCTTTTCTTCATGCAGCCTAGTTGTGCATCAAACTTGGAAGAAATTCATTATGGAAGTTTCTAACAACTCCTTACCTCTGCTAAGTCAAGAGTGACATCATTAGCCTGTTTCAAATTTTTCATTTTTTAATAACAAGAGAAGTTTTGCCTGTCTTAAGGTTCAGCATATCCCAAGACAGAGATTGCTTTTTTTGCAATGGCCTTTTTTATAGAATGATTTAGGGATTAAATGTATTTTAAATTCAGCATTTCATATTAAAACTTCAATCACCTACCACTTGCTTATAATTAAAAATGCCCCTAGGCAATAAATTTTGTTCTGTGTAAATATGACAGGCATAATTATGGCAGACTTAATTGTTCATATATTCCTAGTTTTCATGTGGTGATAAGTTGAATATTAGAATAAGGGAGGAAGTAATTACATCTACCTCCACCCCCTTTCAAATAATAAAACAAAACAACAAAGTCTGTACTTTTCCTTGAACTTGAGTCCATAATGCAGTCTCCTGATTCAATAAATTCTGAAATTAATTTCACACCGAAGTTACAAACATTGTTGATTTGTGTCCCATTGAATTGTGAAGAGGAACAAGTGGCTGTGTTTGGAGGGGAGGGCCGGGGGCATTCGGACCTGCGGAGGAAACGGCGTTCTCCTTCCATCCCTAGCATCGGCGCTGCAGGGTTCAGGGGAGCAGAGGACTTACAGCCACCCTAGGTTCCTCCATTGCCATCTTCTTTACATCCAGCCCTGCCATTGCAAAGGAAAAATGCATTTAAAAAAAATATTTATTGAATTTGTGAAACTCATTTGCAGTTACGTTTTGAGAGAAAAGCCTTGCATGTTTCTGCGGTGTGACCTTCTACAGATCTCAGCTGGTTCTTTAGGAAGGAGAGATATATATATTTACATGTGTATGTGTTTATGTGTACATTTTATTTATATATATACATATATATATGTATTTTGCCCAAAGGGGCACTTGCCCAGAGCAGAAACATCAGTGAAGATGCTTTAGGTCTTGCATTGCTGTACAGAACCCCTTTACCCCTTCAGATTCGGTTGTTCCTTGCGCCCTGGCTGTGGCCAGGCTTCTCCTTTGCTCCTTACGCTGTCCCCAAGTTGGTCTGTGCTGCAGCAGCAGTGACTCATTAATGCTCAGCCCACTGTAAAGCACTAAGCAGACAGGCTCTGCTGCTAAATTCAGTGCTGCTCCCCAAGTACCTTCTCTGAGTCAGAGCACTGTGGAGCAATAATTTTATTTTTGCTGGCTCTGTTTGGGAGGATGGTGCAGGAGTGGGTGACTGGAAGGCCCTTGTTGCTGAGCAGGCAGTGAGCAATCCTCCATGACATTTGTTTTGTCTTATTTATTTATTTTTATATATATTTATTTATTGCCTGTATTTTGGATTTGTCCATATTTATTTCTGTTTAAACTGGTCTTTAAAATCATTCCTGTGCATGAACAGAAAATGCCTGGGGAGCCTTTGTACCTCATTGCAAGGTGATAAAAGCAGTTTGAATGGAAGTCCTGGGGGTGAATATTTTGGGGAAGATGAGGCAGAAATCAGTCTTTAGAAACAGAGAAGATACCGATGTGCAGCCCATGCAATCCCAACAAGCACCGATTCAGCACTAGCAAAGTGCCCTTTCATCGCTTTGGCCATTTTTTGTTTCATTCACAAGTAGAAATCCAGTTGGTGTAAGTTAGCCCTACATAATCCTTTCAACACCTTCTGTTGCACATTTTCAGTATGGTTTCTAGGTAAGCTATACATTGCAACCTTAACTCTAGTTTTTGGTATGTTTCTTAATTTTAGGATATTTATTTCCTAAAAGAGTGCTTATCACAGCCAGCCCATGTGGTTACTGAGAGAATATGGTAAAGAACTGACTAGAGAGGGATGAAAGCAAGGAAAAATCAATATCACTATTTACAAACTACGGTGTAGAGTAACTGTAATGATTTACCGGTGCGGTTGGGCAGTGGAACATAGTACTGCCATAGGTGCTTTAACTTCTTGGTTTTATAGCTGTAAACTTTTCATGAAGCATGCTCTGTGTTTATCAGTTTTACCATTTCATAAAAGTGCTTGCTTTATATGCAGTAGATTCCCTAGGATACATATTTGCCTAGATAATTGTAATTAGCTGAGATGTTGAGGTTGGAAGGGACTTCTGTAGATCATCTAGTCTAACCCCTTGCTCCCCTGCCAGATACGGTGTGTTGTCTGGTTTACCCTAGGTTTTGAATTCCCACTAGTTTTCACTGAAATATCATTTTAAATAGGTACAATGCTTGAAATGGTGTGTACACCTGCACAAAATTTTAATATTACCTGCTTTCGAGTGCTCTGTGTATCACTTTTTGTAGCTCTGGTTATGAATTTTTGGTTCAACTACTGCAAAAACTCTTCATTTAATTGGTCCCCATTGATACTATTTAAAACACTTCATCTTTGGAACTCAGTGACCCTGAAAGCAGGTGGGAATGCACTGCAAGAAAATTCCTGTATAAATATTAGTGCTATTCTGCTGTGTGATAACAGAGTACTAAGCCCTGGTGTGCCTGATTTGTTACAGTTGCTCTGTGCTTTGCATACAGCAGGCTGGAAAATCTGAATACCTGGGCAGTTCCTTGAGCAATTCCAGCCTGAAGTGATGCAGGAGGACTTTGCGACATGGAGGTGACACGTCCTTGCTCTAGCAGGTGTTAGGCTTTCCATGCTGATGCTAAGGCAGTTAACGTGGAATGGGACTAGCACTATTCCAGTTCAAGTGGCAAAACTGAACTTGTGGTTCAGAGTTACATTTTTACATATGTATGTATGTATGTTCTATGTGTGTATGTATAAAAGGATCTTTACAACAGGTTTGAGCTTTTGGAGCTTGCTCATCAGTTTGTTATTTTTCCCGCTCTTAGCTACACAGTAACACAACACATTACTGCGCCTTTCTGTGCCTCTCTTTTTTTTTTTCCCTCCATACATAATAATGCGCAGAATAGTCTCATGAATTATTAGTATCATTCTTGGTTCAACTGTTTTGATGAACTGCTGCTGCTCAGACTTCCTCCTCATGGTCTCCGCTGCGACAGCGGCTTGGTCAGATGTTTTGGCCTTGCATCAGATTTTGGAGGAGAGACGTGAAGTGGCAGAGATGGGGGATGAGGTATGCCTGTGCAGGATGCATGACTACATGC